CATTGTCCAATGTACGAATGAAAAGTGATAATTTTATCACTGTTTCTTCGTGAAATAAACGTTCTTCTCAAACCCAGCCGTCGAGTACCACTTGGTCATTCTGCTTCTACCTGAGCGCTGCTGTCTAGCCTCAACTCATTTTCGCTTCGGACGGCATGGTGAGTAGGCAGCAGAAGTATCAATAGCAGCAGTAGGAAGGTGGTTCAAGGTTAGGTAGTCCACTCTTCTACCTAACAAGCAACACTGACTGGTCGTGGCAAAGGAGGAAAAATTCTTGGTAAAGAAGGCGCCAAGCGTCATCGCAAAGTTCTTCAAGATAACCACCATCCGTCGTCTGGTTTGCCGTGGCGGTGGCAAACGTATCTCCGGTCGGATCTACGAGGTGTGCTCAAGGTGTTCCTGGAAAATGAGATCCGCGATGCTGTCACCTACACTGAACACGCCAAGCGTAAGCGGTCATCGATATCATCTACGCTTTGAAGCGACAGAGAAGCACTCTGTACGGTTTTTGAGGTTAAATCATGAACAACTTTAGCTCTTCTCAGGGCCAAAGAGTTAAGATAATAGATGACCGATCAATTAAAAGAACTCCCAAGTAACATTCGTCGAGGTTTTATAGCATTCTACAAGTCTAAATTATAGTCTACAGAACCCTCATAAAACCAAAATTTATTGTACCTTGGGCTAACTGCTCTACACATTTGTTCCGTCCACTAGCGGTCCTACGGCAAGCTTTCGTTCGTACCCCTAGGCACAGACCCTTCTACTTTTTTAATTTTCTACAAGATACATCCATAAAAAAACACTTGAAATTGGACGAAAATTAATGCCTACTATGATTACGTGGCTGTCTCGGACTGTCCTGCTCGCTTCTTTCTCTTTTAATTTTATGAGGGAAGAGAAATTAAGCAAGATATTGTGCTACGAACAAATATTAATTGATTTATTACAAAGTCGACAAAATCAATATGGATCTTACTTGGAGTCAAAGAAAACTTCTTTAATGCCATTTGGATTAATGCAATCAACTTTTGAACCTAATTTGACTGCATTTGTTCAATTCGTAATAGTTGTATGGTCAATAGTCCATATACGCCTTCATAATCGGCTTTGTAAACTTCAAAACACTTGTTCTCAAAAAACCCAAGATGAAATATTTTAAAACCATCACAGATTTGATTGTTAGGATCAATACTAACATCCTGTGAAGAAAAATCTGAGGTACATGAATGTTGCAAAAAAAGTGCCTTCAGACATAGCGTGCGGCTAGGGAAAATGGCTTGAAAAAGGTTTTATTGTTGCCAAATAGCTTTTATTGTAGCTTAAATACGGGTTTCAAATGGTTCTCAATACGTTCGTCATACAACCTTTTTGCAGTAAGCTAATCTTGAAGAGCTTCGAAAATATACCCTTCAGAACCTTCTCCAGGAAGGGCCAACTAGACAGATGAGGTTTAATGAGGTTTTGGTGGATGCATCAATGGCAAAGTAGCCTTGACCAGGGTTTTATGAATGTTGTTTTATAGTAGCTTTGTATTACATCATAAAACTTAAAATGTTACAAGTAGTGAGCCAATTTAAAATCGTTAGTTTCCACCGGTTGGTTACACTGTCGCTGCCTGCCGGCCCGAGCACGTCACCAACTCCTTGGCCCAGGACGTGTAATCTGGTGCTCTGGTGAAGTGGAGAGGAAGCGAACGTCGACAGCGGACAAGCGGTCGACGATTGAAGACACGTGGTGGAGGTGTTGCGAGGAGCCCCGACGAAGAAAACAGGTCAGATAGATTATAAGAAAGTGAGAGAAGAAGGGAGTAATTAAAGAAACAAAAGAGGTAGTAGTGAAGTGCTTGTAGAGTTTTTTCTGTATGTCACGTGCGATCATTCCCTGCCCGCGTAATTGCAATCGGTAAAGGCCCACCCACATTAGATCCGTTTGCGTTGCGTTGACGTAAATTTGACAGTTAGACAATAGATTTAGCTGTCACTTTGCCGCAACGCGTCCGATCCGGATCTAATGTGCGTGGGCCTTAAGCGTGCCGACACTATTGGAGTCAGGAAGTCTCACACACCAAAATTCATAAATTTTGTTCGGTACTTTTTTTTGCTGAATTTGGTCTGTAAAATGTAATTTTTACCGAATGTTTGGTAAAATTTGATGTTTTACCACTTTCCAGCAATAAGAAAAACTGCATATCTGTAATTTGCAGAAAATTACCGAAAACTGTATATAAACATTACTGATCGAAACTGTAAATGCCTGAAATCCCGCAATACTGTCAAAAATTGACGAATGTACTGTAAAAACAGTCTTTTACAAACCAGACTGTAAAAAGTACCGAACGGTTTGTAAATTGTCTGTACTGCCAAACTCAACATTTTTCCACCATTTTAAAATTGAATTGAATATTGCGCAGTTCTCCGTAGTTTAAGTGCGCAGTTAAAGTAAGTGTTAAAAAATGGAAGACATCAAAACAAATTGGAGCTCTTGATGGAGGAGCAAGAGATCTTTTCCGTAAGTAAAATTAAAATACATTTTTTTTCATTGTACTTTGTAGATGGATCTTCAGAATGATTTCAACACGGTGCCAAACGGTGAAGTCCCACTTTTATACCTAAAAGGAAATTTAACGGAAGATACTTCGGAGGGATGCATTGCATGGAAGGGATGGTCTGCTTCCATCAAGAAAGATGCCAAGTATTGTTTCCGATTGCTGTGTGAGTGCTTCGCTGCTTTCAACATAAGCTGCAAGCCAGAAGACAAGCAATTTCTCTTGTTTCCCTCTGCAATTTTTCAAGGCGTAGGAAACCTTACTACCAACAATCAATACGAAACTAACGATTTTAAATTGGCTCACCACTTTAGTAGCCTATTGGTCCCAAGCAAACGATTAACGTACCCTATTCTAGTTGAAATTCTATTACTACACTATGTTTGTTTTGATTCACTATGAAAGTTTGACAGATAACATCAGGGGTGTGTGGATTCATGCAGAACATGCAGGGGTGAGTGAAATAGCTTGGGACTGCTTGGGACCGTTGTTCTGGTACTGAGTGAGCCAAAAATAATAATGATTTTCTTGGGGACCCAGTGGTCTTAGAGTTACCTCTATGTTACTACCACGGGAGAGAAATTTACGAGAAGCATCAATTGATCGAAACAATTAAGAAATTTTGAAACTGATAAAGTTTAAAAACTGATTAAAATCATCATGGATTAATAAATGTAAAAAAAACAATTCAAATGAACCATGTTATTATTCACACCAAATTTGGAAAAAGAAAAGAAAAAAAATCGATAAAAACCAGCTACAATTCAATCGGTAGTTTTTGCTGAACAAATTGTAAATTTTAACCAGTAATTTTTTTTACTGAATTTCGGTAAAAATCTGACAGAAAGCTTTTTTGTTTATTTTACCAATCATTCAGTTAAATTTGCAATGCGTTTCAGCAAATTTTGACAGCTCATATGATCGAAGTCAAATTTACAGAACGCACTGTAAAACAAAAAATACCGAATAGATTACCGAATGTTCAGCTGTTCCATATTCGGTAAAAAATTACAGTATTGACCAATGCATGGAATGAACTCACGAAAAAATTTGACTTATGCGCGGTGTCGTGTTTACTAAAAATGAACACATGATGCAATGCTTGCGTAACTTTAGAAAAGGTCCTATCAACTTTTATAAACAACTTGTTAGGCCCTTTTCTCGCGAACCGAAGAACACTCACGCAAACCAGACCACTATCGGGAAGGGGAGAATTTACCCTAACCGATGGTGTTGTTGGTTTGCATGGGCGTACTTCGGTTCGCAGGAAAAACGCCTAACAAGTTTTGTGTACATAAGTTGATAGGCCATTTTAAAATGTTGCGCGAGTATTATTCATGTGTTCATTTTAAGTAAACACGGCACCGCTCAAACGTCAAATTTGTTCATGCAGTTCATTCCGTGCATTGGTCAATACTGTAAAAAAATCTTAGTGTGCAGATGTGCTCCTAACTGAGGTGGCTGAGACTATAAGTAATTCGTTTATTATTCAGTTCCAACCTGGATCGGGTATCAAGATTGGGTCTGCTTGTTTTCTGACAAACGTCAGTTTGCTCGTTTGTTTTTAAAACCTAGCTCAGGTTGAGGTTCACACTGACAAACAGTTCGGTTTCGCACTGGGTTGGAACTGGTGTTAACCCCGATAATAAACGAATAATTCGCTATTACATGTGGTTGTTATGAAAATGATTAACAATGATTGTTGACGAAATTGGTGCCGTTGTCTTGCACATTTTCATCTGTCAATCTACCCTATTTAGACCTTTTTTCCAGGATTTTTTTCACATTTCTATCTTTTTTGACGGCCTAAATTCCCCTAATTTGGGCCCATACATAAATTCAGCAATCGACTAAATTTTCAAAAGCGACCAAAAATATCCATCAGTACCGTCCCAATGACGCGTTCATCAATTTTATTTAGATAAATAGCAGATTTTTTGCGATGGGCCCAATCTTAGATCCATAGGCCAACATTAGAGCCATTACCCATATGCAGTAAAACTGATCGTAACAACAATAGGCTCGTTGGTCGTTGTAATAACAACAACTTATTAAAAAAAAACTCAACATTTGGACCAGTAGAACCAAAGTTAGGACGATACGTGATTTTTTTTTAATTCTTGCATCGCCGAATATAGTAAGACTTCCGAAGCCCACTCATAACACCTCAAATCTCAGACTTATTCTCATTATCAGTAAGCATATGCAATTGATTACTCATTGGAATTTCGGAAGTGGGAGCATCATTAGATGCTGCTTTTTCGGGCGTTTTGGTGGCATGGTGAAAGATAAAACAAGTTCTTCAAATCTGTGTCTATTGGCGAGAAAGATCAAGATTCTTCAGTTCAGTTTACTTCATAGATTTAGAGGATTTGTTTTACCAAATATTTCCTTGTCTAGAAAGGCTTATTATAGTTAATAATATTTTATTTATTATTCTTCATTAGGTCATTTAGTTAGTTATCTCCCCCCAAACAACGTCTTCGATCCATGGAAGATAGATTTCGACATTAATCGCCTGCACCGCTTTCTCTCGTTCATAGAAATAATCGAATGGCTTACAATCCAACTCATTCTCCAACACACCCATCACCCGATAGAATCGTTCATCCTCATTTTTGATGACGAGTACATCGCCAGGGCTGGTGAAGTGACCATGATGAAGATAGCGCGAACAGTAGTACAGCACACGCAATGGTGTATTGATCTGATACTGAACTCGTATTCCTTCAAGGCGGACAAATGAATCGGTATGCGCTATCCGGGTCGTATAGTTGACGGCGTCCTGGCGGGAGATGCTCGAATACAGACAAACTAAAACGTTTGTAGAGTCCCTAAAAATGTGCAATACTTATGTGGTGGTGTTCTATACGATTGTTGAAGCGTTCGATTTACTTAACATCCCGATCGAGTTCGATCAGGGCAATTTTGTTATCCATGGGTTCGATATGATCTCTCGCGTTTGCAAACCAATCCGAACTGTTGTGGGCACCGTAGTGGATGAAGACTCTTTCTATGAAAAGCGATTTTGGTTTTGTTAAATAATTTAAAGGAAGATAATTGCACATGTCTACTTGTTTTCTCAGCGCATCGCGTGGTTGTCAGGACGAATCGAGGGCTGATTAATGCGCCATGACAGAGGGTCCGCGGAGAAGTAGCATCCACAAGGTTAACTATCGGATGGTGTTCTTTGAACGGTAGGTTCGATTCACGCATATATGTTTGACATTCTAAAATCAAATAATGAAACGTGGACAAAATGTTGCGGTTTTATCAAATCGGTGTCAACATTTCAAAAGGGCGAAATTGCCCTTGTAAACAATGGCTTTAACCGTCGATTTCCCGCGAATATAAGCTCACACATGCAAAGTAACGACATCCGAAAGTAGAGGAGTGATTTTTTTACAAAAGCAGTTTCGCCCTAATGAAATGTTTTCACCGAAATGAACAATTCGAACTTTTTTCGATGATGCTCGGAGCTTGTGAATAATGGTCCATTGTTCTCTTGATCCAGGTGAGGTACCTTTGCAGGTGGATGCCACCGATGTAAGTGATGCGAATCTTTGTGGGCCCTGTGGTATACATTACAAGTCCAACCAAGTACCACTTTGAGCTACGCTTTGCGAAAATTCCACTTCCAGCATTGCGATGATATTTGTGCGATCCTGAAATCAAAATTTGCATCATTATCATCTCAGAGAAGAAAGCATTTACAACAAGTTACGATCGAATGTTCCTAAGCAAATGGCATCCATGTAGACCATTCCAAACAGAATATTGGTATCGTTGAGACAGGTATCCTCACGGTTGACTGACAGAGACCCACTCGTTAACACTGGAGTATGTACGTCCTGAACTTGAATCTCATATACCTTTGGCAAACAAATGGGGGCAACCAAATAGTTGTAACTTACTTCCCGGTCTAGTAGTAGCAAAACAAAATCATTGGATATATTTTCAATATCAAATGGCTTGGGTTGAAAAGTTCTTCTAATTGACCGGTATTCTCCATCGGGAAATATGATTCGCAACTGACCAATATCCAATTGATCGCCATTTAGATTGTACAGACAGTGAGCCGTCGTTGTGACGAACAATTTATTCAGGAGAGTTCCTCCGCAGTTTAAGTCCTGTTCCGTTAGTTGTATATTCAAAAGCTGCACGTGCCATTTCCAGCTGGAATCTTCCCGTTGTCCACAAGAATCGTTCAGATCGGCAGAAATTTGGAGCACACAGCTAAGCCAGAAGCAAAGCGACAGTAACACGAGCTTCATCACGTTATCAGTATCAATGCTGGAGTGGAACTGTTTGTCTTAGTTTTTTTTTTGACTTTAAATGATCTTTATTTCTTGTATTAGTTTGGTTTACATGTATGAATTATCAAGTGACACAGATGCGTCTTTTCAATTTTAGTACATTGTTCGCCTTAGATTTTTTACGACTGTTGAAATATAAAACATAGACAATCAGACATAGCAAAGCACTATCGCCATGTGTTGACCACACTATGGTGGACAATGCACGCAACAGATGGCGATAGTGTTCAAACACCAAACTCCTGATCAGCTCAACCTTGTCTATACAAGGTGTGGAATTGATGGGCTGTACGTATTGGTGCAGCTGATTTTTAACTCGCCTTTCAGTCGGCTTCGCACGATTCGCTTCGTTCGTACGCTTAAGCGCGCTCATAGTGGCATCATAACGTTTGTTTCAATCAGTGTTTGTATAGGAAATTTAATTTGGATTATAGAATTTCTGTATGAACCAAAATGTATGAATGTTTTTCCACTGAATGTAGCGATAATTAATTGATTATTTTATTAACACACTGTATACCATGAAAAAGCAGCCTTCTGGTGAGTGTTAGCCCGTTTCCAAGTAAGGACGTACCATAAAAATACAAAACGCCTGCTGATGGGGCTTATTACGGATGTCACTTCACGGTGAAAACTTGTGACTTGTCGTCACGGTGAAGTGATTCCCATTTGATTTGCACGGCAATCACGGCTCTTATTATGAGTATCACTTCCTTATCACCGTGTAGTGACACCCGTAATTAGGCCCGATATTTCCCGGAGACTTTACAAAAGAATACAATCAAACACAATCATCATGCAAACATAGCTAGGATTTGCTATACTTCATATTTCGCAAAGTTTCTTTCGAGTGTTATGACGTCGTGACCATCCTCTCCCGCAATGTTTACCATTTTGCCAATTTACAAATCTAAGTCCAATAGGCAACCGTGGCACTGCAATCGCAGCGGTGATAAGTTCAAATTCATGTGGGAACCCAACCCATTCCACCGACAAACCGACATGAAACTTAAACTTAAATCTTGATCGAGAATCCATAACGGCAGATTCAAATGTGCAGCGTTAAAACCATAGAAATGTTTTATCTAGATAAAAATAATTTGTCCGACACTAAGAGGAAGAGGTGACAATTGGCTTCTTCCTCTTTTATTTCTATCTCTATCTCTATCTTACGCTCATGAAATCGGCCAATCAGGAGCTGGTTCACGTTTGACAGAAAAGTGGTTCATTTTCGCCCCCGTATTGTCACCTCTTCTCTTAGGTCCGATACAGATTAGACACGAATCAACTCATAAATTTTGTACGCGTTTTCGTGGTTAGGACTGGAGGGAGACGTGCTGTCAAATCAGCCTACTGATCATTCTTGTATAAAATTGGTTCGAAACGTAAACAAATCATGTAGGTTTCTTATGGCTTGTTTACGTTTGGAACCAGTTATACGAGGTAGGCAACGATTGTTCGTATTTGACAGCCACATCCCACCCCTGGGCTAGGATACATATTTTCCGCGAACGGCGGCAGATGTCAGTTTTGTGCTTTGATCAGAAATTCCTTTGTAATTTGCATGATCATTCATGTCGGGTGGTCGGTGCCCATTCTAACAAGCAATTTGCATGAAATTAGATTGAAATTAAACAATTTTGCAAACAATCAATGAATTTTAATGGTAATGGTTATGGAAGTCAGTAAGGTCCATGGATGGTTTTGTATTGTCGATCAACTTTACGTGGAATATATCGCGAATTGGTAATCATTAATTTACAGGCAACCTATTCGCGATATAATCCACATTAAGTTGATCGATGTTACAAACCCATCCATGGACCTTGCTGACTACTATAACCATTGCCATTAAAGTTCTCAACCCATAAGTAAAAAGGTTCTAATATAGTTTTCTTTCCGAAGATGTATGGAGAAAACAATAATTTGGAACGGTAATGGTTCTTAACAACCCATTATTTGTAAGGTTTACTTCCAAAAAACCATTATAGGGTAAATGTTGGCTTCGGCACCCATTGACTGTTTTCGGCAACCAAAATTTAAACGTTAATTTCACTATGTTTTCCCATCAACGCACTTCCCTGAATGTGTGCAAACGATTGTTTAGCCTTTCAGCTTCAATCTGATTATATTTGAACGATCGAGCAATCCAGTAATGCTACATTTTTCTTCAAATAAAGCATACGCACTACAAAATGGGGTTGATTTCGAGTTGCCGATAATAGTTTAGTTTAGTTTAGTTTATTTATTTCATCAACCGATGTAGACTAGTACAAATACATATACAAATTTGTTTTTCTTAAGAATATTAAAAAATATATTGTCAGCTATTATATTTTTACTTCCTACGAGTTATGATTCCGTATGGAGTTAAAATATTGTTTTAGTTTATGCCGAGACATTGAAAAGTCAATGGTTTCGCAGTATTGATTGTAAGACGCCATCATGCGATTTAATGGCCCAAATTTTGCATAATTTGTGCGATGATGGGTTACGGCAAATAAATTTCGATTTCTGAGTTGTCGAGTAGGTACATAAAAATTTAATTTTGATAAAAGTTCTGCTGAGTTAATGCGCTGCGAAACGATATCATTTACAAACGAAACCATTGCATATTCACGACGCTCTTTTAATGTTTGTATGTTTATAAGCATGCAGCGTGCTTCATATGATGGAAGAGGAAATGATGTCCAACCTAATTTACGAAGGGCATATAATAGAAATTGCTTTTGTACTGATTCTAATCTTTCTTCGTGCGTGATTGAAAATGGAGACCATACAATGCTGCAATATTCCAGTATTGACCTCACATAGGCAATATATAGTGTTTTAATTGTGTATGGGTCCTGAAAGTTATAGCAAAAGCGCTTGATAAAGCCTAGCATGTTATTTGCCCTGTGAATAATTGTATTGTAATGGTCTATGAAAGTTAGTTTGGAGTCTAAGATAATCCCTAAATCCCTGACTCTTTCACATTTTTCTACATTCTGATTTCCTAATGCAATTGAAATGTTTGATGGTGTTCTTTTTCTGCTAAATGATATTAAGTTGCATTTTTTTACATTCAGTTCTAATAGGCTTTTTTTACACCATGTGTAGAATATGTGTATTTCACTCTGGAATATATTGATGTCTTCATCATTTTTTATTTCCAAAAAGAGCTTCATGTCGTCGGCATAGATTAGCAATTTTATTTTTTTGAGAATGAAGGAAATGTCGTTTACGTACAGAATAAAAAGAAGAGGTCCCAGATGAGAGCCTTGCGGGACTCCTGAGGTGACTTGAATTGGGGTCGATTTCTTTCCGTTGAATTTAATTATTTGTTGGCGGTTAGTTAAATATGATTCAAGCCATTTCAGGAGTCCTGGCTCAATTCCAATTTTTTTCAATTTGAAAAGAAGCATTGGTATGTCAATTCGGTCAAATGCCTTGCTAAAGTCTGTATAGAGAGCTTCTACGTGGTTTCCATTATCCATTGCATTTAAGGAATAGTCTATAAATTCAAGTAAATTTGTCGAGGTCGAACGTCCTTTAAAGAAGCCGTGTTGCATGTCAGTAATTCTATTTTTGGTTTGAAGAAATAATTTTTCATTTACAATTGCCTCGAAAAGCTTTGGAATGCAAGAGATAATGGCTATTCCACGATAATTACGTACGTCAGATTTTCGGCCAGATTTAAAAATAGGTACTAAAAATGAGCTTTTCCATATTTTTGGGAAGGTTCCGGATTCCAGTGACATATTAAAAAGCCAAAACAATGGAGCAGTGAGTTCCATTGCTAGACTTTTTAAAAATACTGGAGGAATTCCGTCAGGTCCAGGACCTTTTGAGGCGTCTAAATTCTTTAAAGCCTGCAAAATATCCTGCACTTGAAGTTGATTGACGCCAATGTCCCTTGAAAATTCTGGATGAAATGCAAAATAATCGCGGTCGCGATCTTCATCGGAAAATGTCGTATAGATTTCTTGAAAAAAAATTGCAAAAAGCTTACAATTTTTTTCCGAGCTATCCCCGACACGTTCGTCAAGATGCATTATTGATGGAAAATTGTCAGATTTTAATTTGGTTTTTACGTAATTAAAGAAGTTCTTTGGGCAGGACTTTATTTCAAGTTCAGTTTTTGAATTAAATTCTTCAAATGCATTACTGATGGCTAAATCTAGTTGATCGCATAAGTCCAAATAGATAGCCAAATTTTCACTATTATTGTGTTTTTTGTAATGTTTATGTGCTTTCTGTTTTCGATTTTTTAAGTTTTTTATTTGTCTGTTATACCAGACTGGATTTTTTGTGCTTCTGTAGCGTCTTTTTTTCTTCAAAGGTATTTCTTCCAAAATTATTCCTGATAAAATTTGGTAGAAGATGTCTACAGCAGTTTCGACATTTCCTTCATTCCTTAGAATTATTTGCCAATTGACGCTGTTTAATTTATGTTTGATTTTTTCGTAGTCTGCTAATTTGTATTCAAAGACTTCCTCGTATTCGCAGTCGTTGGGTCTTTGGTATTCGTGTACAAATAAAGAATATTCAATTGCTGTGTGAAACGCTTCGTTTTTCCACAATGGGTTAAATGATTCGGTCACACAGAAATCTTCATAAATATTCGTTAGTAAAAAGTCCAAATAGCAATTTTGTTGATTTTTGATGTGGTTAATTTGGTTCAGTCCTAAATTAGCAGTTTTGTCAAAAATGAACTGCAATGTTTCATTATCCCCAACGACTGGGAGTAAGATACATTCATTTTCAGAGTCCAGAATGAAGTCAGCATGGCGTTGATTAAAGTCTCCATAGATGTGAACTTTAACCTCAGGAGGAAGCTCAGATAGAATTTGTTCAGCACTTTGGAAGAAGGCTTCATAAGTGCTTTTATGAGCATGGTCTGGTGGAAAATACACTGAGGCGAACACGTGCGTTTCACCGGCAATGTGTGATTTCACCCAAATATGCTCAAATTCTGTAAATTTTGGTGTAAAGATAATTTCTGAGTTAAAATTGGCCGAAAGAGCTATAAGGACTCCACCGCCTGACTTCTTCTGAGTTGCATGAAAATTTCTGTCGTCTCTGAATACATTAAAAGCATTTCCAAAGATTTCTTCACTTTTCACGCTTTCAGTGCTTTCAGGAAACGCCCGTCCCCATCAGCTGATTGCTGCGTCAAGCTTACGATGGGTGGGCGCATAGGGTCGAGTGACCATCCAGATGTTTGATTTGATGTATTTGTATTTGATTGCAATGATGACGGCGTTTCAGTCTTGTTGTTGTGTTGTACCTGCTTTTCTGTCCGGTATTGGTTGATGGTTTCACCCTTCCTGAAGTTGATGAATTTTGGGACCGAGAGGGCTGCAATTGGGTGGTCGGTGGTCAATGGCGGACCAGCAAATTGTACTTTCGCTGTGGCCAGTAGTTGCTTGTCCGATCCCTTGGCGCGGCTGTATTCATTTCCTTGGATGATGTTTTTGGTACTGCTGGTGTGGATTTGTTGTTGTTTTCGTCGTTTTCTGCTGCGTTTGGATTTTTCAGCAGCTTTTTCCTGCAACCTGCGAGTCCGTTGTTTTGCGTCAAATTTAGACCAGTCCTGCTTCCAGTGCCATTTGTTGCCTAAAAAAAAAAAAAAAAGAACAGCTGGTTAACACGCAGTTCTAATGGGAAGGTTGCCGAAGAAAAAGAGGCTGCCGACAATAGTCACACTCACCTGAGAAGTTTGGAGCGTTGTAAAAACGCTTTCAAAACGTTTTGAAAAATTCTGTCGATTGGAATGGATAGAGAAGCAAGCAGCAGATGAATGTAAACAAACAGACACATCATATATGTGCGTGACGCTGAGAAAATGCTAGTAGAAGTGCAGACGCTGCTTAGATTGACGAGAATACGTAAATTCCCCTACATAAGGTTGAAACTTTATCACACAAACGTTCATGTAATGTTCCATTACCATTTCAGTTAAAGTTTAGCAGGGTTTATAAACAATGTTTAACCATTTTCGGTAAGGTCAAGTTATGGTTCGCGTTTATGCGGGCCGTGGCCGAATATGGTGATTTGGATGATATTTGTTTATTTGGAAGATATTTTCGAAACAAAGCGCTTTGAAATTCAGTAGTAGGTACATTGTAACGCACACCCGCTACCTATGAGATTTTGACCACTGAATGCGCTTCCTGTCTCAATAACGAGTGGCTTAAGCACCACCTCCGAAGAGGACCACTCATCTAGGTTTAATTTGCCCGGCAAGAAACCCAACCTTAGGGTGGGTTTATGTATAAAATAGACCCAAATTTAGGTTAGGGCAATCCAGTAGACTGAAATCCCAGGAAAGATTGAGATCCTCACATATAGAGGCCGCTTCAAATCACAAACGAAGTTACAGACGACTAACTGGCGAAGAAATCCATTTAAATAATGTGGTTCACTGTAATAGAATTTTCTTGGAAGCTTGTGCCATCATCCACCAGATGGGTTAGTTTTTTTGTTTTGATTTGAACAAAGTTGATTTTGTGTACAATGACTCTTTGACAGTGTGCAAAGAGTGCGTATCATTTTGTCATTTTTTTATGCATTGCAGTTTTGAGTAGAGTGAATGAGATAGAACTAAAACATTCTAGTACATTTGGTGAAAATGCTAGTTCAATCTAATAGTAGTGTTGCCATGTGGTACAATCCAGTAGTAGTGGTGTTGCCATGTGGTACACTGAAAAATTGAAATAGCAGGTTAGTCACCAAAGTTTTCGAGTCGCTCCGTCTGTCACTTCGTTTGTGCTTCAAATGGTCTTAAACGAAAGTTGGTGCTTACCGTCGTTCTACCGAAGCACAACAACCCCACTCACATTTATCATCACTGGAGGAACTTCCCATTCAAATTTCCTCTACCGATCCTGACCCGTGAGTGCAGAGACTGTTTTCCTAGGCAGTCCAACCTGGAGTAAATTCAGCTACAAAATAAAAATTACAACGCAAAAATAGAACAACGGCAAATGTGAACAATCTAGACAACTAAAATTAACATTACGGGGAAAGCTTTAATTTAACGTATCAACATTTATTTCAGTGCCAAATAACGGAAATCATTATCTAATTTATTAGTGTTTCTAACCTAGGTTTATTCGTAGTAATTGTTCCTTTCCCATTTGCTGTCTTGCTTGATAGCTCTCCCTAATTGCACAGAGAACAGACATCCAAGTTCGGTCAGAAACTTGTGTAAAGTTAAGTCGAAACGTCGCCGTTACGTAGCGCTAGCATCTCCTGATTTCCTCTGCAAAATTATCACTTTCGACCAATTTGGCGCTACTATCGATAAATTATCTGTTCAAAAATTGCCACTTGCACTTAGTGTCTAGTGTAAGTTTTGCAACGCCGAAACGTATACGAAAGTTGATAAGCCGGGTTCAAATATTACGTGAGTATTATTCATGTGTTCATTTTTAGTAAACAGGGCCCCGCTGCTGTGTCACTTTTTATCGAGTGAGTGAACTCAAATCCATCCGTGCACTCGTCTATAAGGCTGTCCACGAGACAATTGCGATCATCTGACTTTTTTGTTTACCAAGAACTTTTGACAGACCACAGTAGAACCATAGAGGTAACTCTAAGACCACTGGGTCCCGAAGAAAATCATTATTATTTTTGGCTCACTCAGTACCAGAACAACGGTCCCAAGCAGTCCCAAGCTATTTCACTCACCCCTGCATGTTCTGCATGAATCCACACACCCCTGATGTTATCTGTCAAACTTTCATAGCGAATCAAAACAAACATAGTGTAGTAATAGAATTTCAACTAGAATAGGGTACGTTAATCGTTTGCTTGGGACCAATAGGCTACTAAAGTGGTGAGCCAATTTAAAATCGTTAGTTTCGTATTGATTGTTGTTATAACTCTCCAGTCTGGACAGCGTTTAAGACTAGAAGGTCCCGCAGAAACGTGCTCAACTTTTTGGCACAGCTCTGGTACTCTCTTCGGTCCCAAGCTAAATGATTCACCCCTCGAAACATAGGAAAAACCAATAACCCCTCATTTTATCTGTCAAACTTTCATAGCGAATCAAAACAAACATTGCGTAGTACTAGAATTTCAACTAGAATGGGGTACGTTAATCATTTGCTTGGGACCAATAGGCTAGTCAAGTAGTGAGCCAATTTAAAATCGTTAGTTTCGTATTGATTGTTGGTAGAACTGGCAGTTTAGTCTCATATGAATTTCTGCTTTGTTTATGTTTACAGTCAGCACCATAAACACCAGATCAGTCGCACACTCTAGATTTCTAGCTGTCAGTTCCATTGAGAAACGTCTTTTGGATCGAGGGGGGCGACACATCTAAATCTCAATTCTAGATGCTCAAAAAATCTCACACTAGCGAATCAATCTTCGAAAAATCATCTTTCATTTCTCGCATCTACTTGCATCGTGCTTCATCTTTTTGTAGGAAATCTTCAAAATCGACATAAATCTTCATTCTATCTACTCAGCGTGCTTGCAGCTAGCCACAGCAAAACACAATCTTTTCTGCATCGTAGATAGAGTCGTCCCCCTCGTCTTGGATCACCTTATTAAGCTGGGTTCAGACAGGGCAAGTTGAATTCAACTGACTTGAACGCGATTGAACGTGTTAACCATGCCATTCAACTGACTTGATCAACTCACTTGAAATAAACCAGGCTCAACTTTTCAAACCAATTATTCATGTTTTGTTGTTTTTGACATAATCCACATCCAGAGGGCCAGTCACTTTCGAATGTATGGGAATGGTAGGAAACCATTTGGAAATGCATGAAAATTTTCAGTTTTTATTTATTATCGTCTTTTTGAGCAGATTTAGATACTCAAAAATCGCACGAGTACATTACTATGGTGATAAGGTAAACACTCGTTTATTTGTTTCCTTCTGTGAAAGCATGTTTAGTCACAAATCGTGGATTTTCTGATATTCTCCATACTGGAAAAATGATTTTCCTACCACAGAAGGGGCGACATCTCTCGGATCTACTCTTCTTTCCTTTATTTATCGTCGGTCTCTGTTCCGCAATCTAGTGCCAATCACCGACGGACATCGATTGCCATCCATTGACGACAATCGAATGTGCAGGAAGGCAGCTTCCACACCTGCGTAGGATATCGCACCCATTCAATTCAACACACATGGGCCGGGACCAACGGCTTTACTTCCCTTCCGAAGGAAGACGTGACCAGAGATTTTTATGCCTCAGAAAAATCCCACCGACCTCGGTTGGGATTGAACCCAGACCCATTGGGGTGAGAAAGCAGTCACGCTTACCACTACACCACCGGCGCCGGCTATAGCTACTACTGAAATCATATAATTAATTGAATTCAACTGAGTTGATAATTTGACTTGCCTAGTCTAAACCCAGCTTTAGAGTCTGTGTATAAAAGTAACGTCAAGAGAAAAACAATAGAACTCGCATCATGGCTTTCGAAAGATTCTTATACAACTTATACAGGCGAAAATAGGATTATACGGCTAATATTTGCCTCCGCACTAGTCAAAGTATCATACTCACTACGTGTTATGGTCATTTTTTCGATTATATTTTACATTTTATACCTTTCATGGAGATTTCAAAAAATCGGATTTTTTATTTAATTTGCACGATAGGTAGCCGGTTTAACAGTTCAATATGTAGGCATGGCTGTACTTTTGGCGTGACTCATTATACACCGACTCTAACTACCATTACCGAGCGTGGAAAGCTTGATAGAACAAAACGTAGAAATTTGTGCACCGAAAGAAACGATAGTCATAGGCCAATAAAACCTGCGATCTTGAAAAAAGACTTGGTAATGATGATGAGGAGATTTCAAAATATTGCATGGCAAGGTATGTGACAAAAGATTTAAAATGCTTATAGTTTTCAAAATAATTACTTTAAATTGATTTGAGTGATACTATTTGAACCACTTTTATCAAATATTTGGAAAATCTTCGAATATTTAATATAATACGTCTATTGAGTAGCCCTTGAGTTTTACTCCAAAATTATAAAAAAAAATATTATTTGAGAAATATAAGCATTTTAACATTTCAATCCTATGCCTCGCCGTGCAATATTTTGAAATCTGCATCCTCAAGCCTTTTTTCCAAGATGGCGGGTTTTAGAGCCCTATAGAGAAATCACCTGGGGCCACATTATGGTACCAAGTTAATACGACTGTTTTCATGCAAGCGTTCTTACGAAAAACGCTTTGTTTTAACCTTTTCAATTAGGCCCCTGTTTTCCGAGCTGTTTTCCGAAAATATACGTACTGCGATTTCTCCACAGACTTATGTGGTGACCTCTGTTGAGTTTGATGGTAAAAGCAAGTACCTAATTCCAAATTTAAATGCTTTATTCAATTAACCATAAATTATTGAAGCTTTATCAAAATTTCCTCCAAATCAATTCCTTCCATGGAAATGCGTGCGGCCCCTTTCGTCCATTTAGTGGGCGACGTTGGCTTTATCTTCTTTGCTTTCCTCCGAACCAGAATGCTCACCGGAGCATCTATGATGTGTGTGGTCTACTTTGGCTGATTGGGGCTCTTCTTGCTACATACGGATATCTCTCGTTAAAACTGCGTGTCAGTTTAAGTGAAAATTGAATTAACCTACCTTTGGTTCAGCCAAGGAGTCGGTTCCTTCCACAGGAAACGAGAAGGCTACCCCAATAAGCAGCATTAGCAACGTGAATAGAATGGTCTGGAATATTGGCAGAGGGCACATGAAGATCACTCTATAATACGTTTTAGAAACTACGAGTTAGAACTTACTAGTTTCATGTTTATGGCGATTTGCTCCCGAAGTGACTGCTGCAACAAACTAATTTCAACTGATGACTTTCAGTTCAATCTTGGCAATATAAAGCGTATAAAGCCAGTACGATTGCTGATACGACTCGGTGAGTAGTTGCTTGTGATTTAATGTTTATTGTTATTTTTTAAATAATGATCGCTTCTTGTTCTATCTTGATCATTCTTTGCTAATTGGAACTTATGTCTGCTCTCTGATCTCATTACAAATTTCTCGGTGATCTGTTCGCTATGCACTTTCACCATAGAGGTAACTCTAAGACTAGTAGGTCCCGAAGAAACGTGCTCAACTTTTTAGTTCAGCTCTGGTACTATCTTCTTCTTCTTCTTCGCATTTCAAGCTTATTGCATATCGCATATTAGCTTATTGCGTGCTCTCAACTTAGTGTTCCAGATGCACTTCCACAGTTATTAATTGAGAGCTTTCGATGCCTGTACCATTTTTGCATTGGTATAATTGTATGGCAAGTCCAATCATACTTCTATGTCCAGGGAAGTCGAGAAATTTTCCAACCCGGAAAATTCCTACACCGGGACCGGGAATTGAACCCAGCCACCTCCAGCATGGTCTTGCTTTGTAGCTGCGCCTTTACCGACTGAGCTAAGGGAGGCCCCCTGGTCAACTTTATGGCTCAGCTCTGGTACTATCTTCGGTCCCAAGCTAATCGATGCACCCCTTGAATCATAGAAAAATCCACGAACCCCTCATTTTATCTGTCAAACTTTCATAGCGGATTTTCCTATGTTTCGAGGGGTGCATCGATTAGCTTGGGACCGAAGATAGTACCAGAGCTGAGCCATAAAGTTGACCACGTTTCTTCGAGACTTTCTGGTCTTAGAGTTACCTCTATGGTACTATCCTTTCATTCCTCTGAAAATTTCCACAAGAAACTGTCAATAATTGCTAGAAGAGACGACTTCTCGACGGTGCCGTCAAAGCCAATATCATTTTTGCATTCGTATATTCTGTCTGCCCTAAGCACAAAGTGTGCTATGCCAAGGGAGTCGAGAAAATCATTAATTTAAAAATAAGTTCGATCGAATCGGGAAACAAAGCCGGGAATGAACTGGGTTTACTGACTAGACTATCGAGAAGCCGCAGACTCAGACAAGTGATGATATGTTATGCATTATAAAAATCTTGTTTTTTTTTAGTAATCATTGTACAGCATGCGCAATAAAAAAATGCGAAAATCGTCATACATTTTGCATGATAATTTTCGCATTTTATTATTTAACAACGCTAACGCTAACGCTAACGCTATAATTTTCGCATTTTATTATGGTGCATACTGTAGTAGATCATCGTTGCTAGTTAGTTCAGGCAATAATTGATTTAAATATTCAATAGAAACTAGTGAGATTCTAGCTACACGCGTTAAGAACAGGTTTTTTTTTCCAGCACACCAACAACGTAGAGCCATTCGAGAAATTTCCATCGACAATACTCGCGTCACTTTTCAAATAGACCAATCTACATTGATCAATTCTCCTCATCGACTCTTTCTTTCGTTAATAACTTGGTTGCATTCATCATATATCGGGCTAATTTTACTACATTTTTTTTTGTTAGGGGGAGTTGAACCACTGCGTCCATTATTTGAACTTTTGTAGTACCCCTGTTTACTGTTCGTATCATGCAAGCTGACCGCCATTTAATGAGTAGACAGCTAATTGTCTGGGCACGTCCTTTCCCAGTCAGGTATGATATGGTTTATGAAACTATCTACCTTTCCAGGATTAGCAGACCAAATTCCACTAGGTTGTAAGATAATACTACGAAGAAATTTAGATCTAAACCCGTGTAATGCGCCGCAACTGCAGAGCAGATGTTCCGAGGTTTCACGTTCTATGCTACAGAAACGGCAGATATCACTCTGAACCCGACCAATGTTCTTCAAATGATATCTACTCGGACAGTGCCCAGTTACTAGGCCAGTGTATATACTAAGAGCCCGTTTATTGAGCTCCAAGAGCTTTTTGGTATGTGTTACATTTGGAGTTATAATTCTTTTCGACGGGTTGCATTTCGTGACGGCCATCCAGTTGGCCATCACCCTTTGTTCTTCCCAGCGTTTGAGTTCCATTTTTACCGTACAGTTTGATATTCCACAGTATGGTTCTGAGCCAATAAACGGTGAATTGGAACCTAATTTAGCGAGATCGTCTGCCCTTTCATTCCCTTCAATGTCACAGAGTCCAGGAACCCAATATAAGTTTTCTGAGTTCTGTTTGCACAGCAGTCGCAACAAGAGAATACATTCCCAGAAAATCTTTGATGTACATTTGTAAGCACGAAGCGCTTTTAGCAACAATCAATACGAAACTAACGATTTTAAATTGGCTCGCTACTTGACTAGCCTATTGGTCCCAAGCAAATCGATTAACGTACCCCATTCTTGTATAAATTCCAGTACTACACTATGTTTTTTTTTTGATTCGCTATGAAATTTTGACAGATAACATGAGGAGTTATTGGATTTTCCTATGTTTCGAGGGGTGAATCGATTAGCTTGGGACCGCAGATAGTACCAGAGCTAAGCCAAAAAGTTGAGCACGTTTCTTCGGGACCTTCTAGCCTTAGAGTTACCTCTATGCTTTGAGTGCTGCTTGACTGTCAGAAAAAATACAGATATTTGCACATCTATATTTTCTCGTTAGGCAAATACTTACACATTCAAGTATGGGCACGATTTCTGCTTGAAACACTGTTGGACAATGTCCCATCGCTACTGAAATATTTGTCCAAGGGCCAAAGATTCCTGCACCTGTTTATGTTCCAATTTTTGAGCCATCTGTGAAAAATATGATTGAGCCTTGACGAACGCTAGGACCACCGACTTCCCAATCCGAACGCAACATTTCACAAATGTTGAAGGGAGTCCCAACAAACATTGCATGCAGAATAAGAGCTTATGCAGGTAAAATATGCTTTTTCATCTAAACAATGGCTTATTCAGCTCAAATTGTTTGTTGGGGTATCATAATTGTCCTCTGGTTTCATCCAGTCTCCATTCATACTCATCACTGGTCCTCTTTGGAAGTATTGTAAAATGCTTCGGTGATCAACCAGCTCACCAGGCATGACTTTTTTTAGACATTTTGAGCCTTAGCGCACGTATTCATGCAAGGGCAGTAGATTGAGAATTGCATCTAACGCTTTTGATGGGATGCTGCGCATCGCACCCGTTATAGCAATACATGCTAGACGTTGTAGTTTTGCCAGCTTCCTCTGTGCGGTAGCCTCTTTCGTTTTTGGCCACCACACTATCGAAGCATAAGTTACTTTTGTACGGATTACTGATGTGTGAATCCACATTGTCATTGTTGGTTTCAAACCCCATTTTCTACCAACAGTTTTGGAGCATAACCACAGGGCACTGGTTGCTTTGTTGATCACAGAATCAATCTGAGCATTCCAATTCAACTTGGCGTCCAATATGACTCCTAGGTATTTGACCTGTTCACTAAGATCGATCTGTTCTCCTCCAAGCTTGAACTCCTTTAGGTTGAACTTCCTCGTTCTAGTAAAAGGAACGATCACTACTTTTGACGGATTAATGTTTAGGCCCTCCTTAATACACCAAGATTGGGTAAACTTTAGAGCCTGTTGCATTCTTTCTGAAATGATAGTGTCAAACTTTCCTCTAACTATGATGACTATATCATCCGCAAAGCCCACAACTTCGAAACCTTTCGCCTCTAGGCTTCTTAGAAGATCATCTACAACTAAAGACCACATTAATTTTACTACATAGTCTGTTAAAAGAAAGTATTATTAAACGTATTGGATGATAAGAACAGCTGAACATGTTTTTGGAGCCGAGTTGAGAACGAAAGAGAGAGTCGATGAAGAGAATCGATAAATGTAGATTGGTCTATTTGAAAAGCGACGCGAGAATTCTCGCACTACTTTTGAAGTAGACCAGAATACATTGATTGATTCTCTTCATCGACGTTTTTTTTTATCATCCTCCCAAAATTTTAATTCATTTGGTCAAGGGGTAATCAACTCTGCACACTGTGCCAAAACACAGTATGGCACACTATTCGGCACTTTAGGGCACACGTTGACAAGCAGGATACAATCAATATAATATAAAAACGGCATCACTGTCGAGTGTGGACGTTTTGCCAATCGTTGCTAAGGTTGACTTCTTTGTTTACTCCATTGGGCTTTACGTTGGGTTCGAGGATCGTGCCTGAAAAATGCCAAGGGAAAATTCTGTGAGTATTGTCTGCACCATGAATGTCTTATCTCTTCACAACCAGCAAAACTAAGTTTATCTCATCCGATTCGCAGTGAAAATCCCAGCGGTTCCTGGTTTCGTCCAGAATAGCTTCTCTTTGGGCTTCACGCTAGCAAAGTTCTACCATACCATGCAGCGTTGCCAGATATACCGATTTATCGGTATTTATACCTATGTTCGAACTAGATACCGATATACAGATAAGATTCCTCAGAATACCGATTTTTGAGGTTTTATACCGATTTATACCGATTTTTTAAATAATCAAAATGATTGCCTGTCCGCTCTCAGAATTTTTGAGAAAATTATTGTGAGAGACTTGTATCTTTTTGAATATCTAAAATTTGTTGAGCCTTTAAAATTCTAAAAAAAAAAATCATTTTCAAAAATGTCTTATGGATACTCTGTCGATTAATGTTTCAATTTCCTCACCGTTTTTGGCTACCCATGAATCGATAAGCAGTCGATGCCTCTTTCTGGTAATTTCGGGGGAATCGGGAAAAATTTCTAAACATTATTTTAGTTCCTGGATTTTCTTTCACCTTACATCGTTAATTATCTTCCGATTCCTCTCGGAAACTTATTTCGACTTCCCTTGGAAGCTTCTTCAATCTTCGCTCGAATGATTCTTCCATCTTCTCTTGCCAGTTTTTTCAACTTTCCCGGAACTTCAGAGATGCTTCAGATTTTTATTGCGTATCCACACTAGCTGCAGGAACTTTTAAGAAGTTCTGAAACTTCAGAAAATTATAGAATTTTGATTAAGTTTCGATGAATTAAAGAAT